ACACACACACACACACACACACACACACACACACACACACACCTCTGATGGTAGTGCCCCCTACCCCTACTGCCCCCTCTAACTGTAATGGTACCTGGGATTCCTGTGTCAGTTTCTTGGGCCTCCCCTAAAAATCCCAATCTTTAACTAGGGACCCTGATCACTACTACCCAAAATGCAGGTACACAAGCTGGCCTGCACTTCTGGGATTATAAGCAAAGAGGAGACCTATCGGAGGAAGACTGAGAGGCAGTCAGAAGGGGAGCTTTCTTTCACTCTGAGCTGCCAAGCTTTGAGTGCACCAGTTTCTTTGTGAAGGAATGCCAGCCTTGAAGAAGGCACTCAAGGAACCACTCTCTCCTTTACTGCAAACATAATACAGCTCCTTCCTGCCCCACAATGCCCCATTGCCACGGAGGCCCGAGACGGACTCCCGAGACGGACTCCCTTGAAGCTTTCAGGAAATAGACCCATTGGGGGTGGAACAAAGAGTACTTCTGAGGAAGGGGCTCCTAGATTCCTACTACTTCCCTCTCTAATCAGCACTCTTTCACGTAGGTGCCCCAGTGTTTGTGAAGAAGCTGATGATGACTATGAGGTAAAAACAAAAGGATTCAATAAAATTTTAAGTTAAAAAAAAAAAAAAAGATATTGCCTGGCCTAGCCTAGAAAATCCCCACCCAGTACTAGAAGAGGCCAGGCTCATCCTCCCAACAAGCCTGGCTCTTGTCAGAAGCTAACAATAACCTAATGGAAGGGAGGGGAAAAGATACAGCCAAGAGCCTAAGGCCTCTGTGGAGGTAAACTGGCAAAAAAGGACTCTAAGGAGCTTTAAGTCCCCTCTGCAGCATGCCTGACCCAAGGGAATAGGTATGATCTGGGGGAGAGTAAAGAGCATCCATCCAGTCTTTAAGCCATAAGACACACTCAGTAAAAGGAAGAGTACTGAGGGATCTAAGGGATCCTTCTACACCTAAATCTCCAAATTTAGATGAACCTGTTGGGCAGATCTACTTGTCTAGGTATATCAAATCATTACCATCAATCCCAATTTTGATTATGTAGAAAAGGCAACTATTCTCCAACCCTTACAAAACTCCCTTAACAGCCACTTTCTAGACACTAATCCCTATGGATATAGAATACAGGGAACTTTATGACTGGGAGGGCTCCTAAAATCTTAAGACCCTGACCCATTCTTCACTGCCCTTGAGGACCCTCGAATCCTGCCCACTGTTTTCAACCTTGAAGAAAAGAGCCTAACTGGCTCCTCTCTCAAAAGAAGCTGTTTCTCTGTGGCAAATCAAGAGACTGAGCTGAAAGAAAAGGAAAGGCAAAGTGTTATGGCCAGCTGTGCCTGGCAGAGTCAACTACAATCTTCACAGCGTCTGGGTACTCAAGTCCAGCTGGTCACCTGGCTCTTAAGCTCACTGCAAAGTCTCAGCAATGTAACATATGAAAGTGTATATATAGATATATATATATATATATATATATATATATATATATACACACACACACACACTTTATGCTCTACTATAAACAACAGGAGAAGGGTAATGAGAGCAGAGGATAAAGAATGTCACTCCCCAAAGCTCTGTAAACAGAGAAGGTCCTACGAGGAAGCGTGCCTGTTCACACTGAACAGAGGTCGAAACAAAGCAAGGAACCGAGTTCTCCAGATAATTCCAGCAAAATGTCTCCCCGATGACTTAATCCCCACCTTCAATCTCAACTTTGCTTTGAAGCAAGCAGCTCCCTGTGCTAGTCTGAGTCCTTCCTGATGGGCTCCTGGAGCACAGCCCTTACCTCTCGAACAGCAGAAGGACCCAGAGTTCTCCTGCCATAAAACAGACTGGTCTAAGCCTCCGGAAGTCATTACTGATAATGTCATTTCACATGAAATTTTTGCAAAAGGGCAGGTTTATAAATAACTGCCTGCTATCAGGAAGGACTGCACTTCCTGCACAATGGACCAGACTTGACCTTTGAACAGAGGCTAAGGGATGCCTGCTGAGATAGCACTACTGGCCTGTGGAGATGTTTGGAGGATTCAGAAGTCTGTCTTTCTGCTCCACTTCCCCCAAACAGACAGCTGCTTGAGAGCTTTCGAGACAAAGTTCTGTGATGCACTGACTTTCAGAGAGCCACAGTCCGAGTGTATAACAGAACTTCACCTCAAATGCTAATGATGCCTGGAAAATGGTGGGTGGAAGGGAGTCGAGGGGGAGCCCAGGAGTCAGAGAGCTTTTCAGACAAGCACATCCCTCTCCTGGAAGTAACTGGGATGTTCTTTCCAGCAGAGCTGAAAGAACGAGCAAGTAAGGCTTTGATCTCAACTGAAGGGCCGGTGGACAACAGCAGCACCTTCCACACGTGCCCTCTGCCGTACAGAGAAGGCCAGTGGGTCAGGCATTCCCAATGCTGCCCCCTATGGGCCTCACTGCCCACCTGCAGCCCACACTTCTTAACCCTTTCTTTGCCAGGCTTAAGCAGAAGAGGAGACAGCTGTGAGATACAAGATAATTAGAGAAATCTGAAGAGATATTTAAGTCATTTGGCTGCTCCCCATCATTCAGCAGAAGAGGTAAGCCTGAGAGACTTGACTAAAGGCTGACTTGCCTAAAGTTACAGTGTTGGTGAGCAGCACACTCAAGGCTGATTTAAGTTCATTTCATGCTGTAAGTATTCAGAAAACACTGTTGAGAAAGGACCTTGATGTGACAGCTGAGGGTCCATAACTAATTAACTGATCTATCCATGAGAAGAAGAAAGAGTTGCGACTGAAAAAAGTGGGGATGCCATTCAAATGGCAGTAGAGAAAAAGTGAGGACTGGAGGGAGGGCCAAGCTGGCTTCCCCCCACCCCATGAAGGCAATTAGGTCCCACTCACAGAGCTCACTTGCCATGAGAGAAAGGACCCCCAGTGAGGACATTATACTACCACCCACCTCTTCCCTTTTTCCTGCCGATGAATGAGCACTTAGGCCTGTCAAAACAGTAAGAAAAGTATGTGCAGGAGATAGGTGGTGAGTTCTGAGCTCTGATCCTAGTCCTGTGAGGCCAGGCCAAATGTTTTTCTTTGCCTACTTTCTTCTTCTACCCAATTGGAGCTCCTCCAAATTCAGTCTTTGCTTGCCACTAGACAGGAGCAGATTTTACACACAAGAGGACCTTGTCCAGACACAGGGAGCCCAGAAGTGGGAGTCCTCATGCATCTTCTTCAAGTGATACCTACTTATATCAGACCAAAAACTGGTAAGAAAAGGAAAGTAAGGAAAGGCCTGCAGGAGAATGGACACTGGGGAGAACACTGAGAAAACCCAAAGCGAAGACACCTTCCCAGAAGGTGAGCAGACCTAATTCTAGTCACAGATGACAGGTTTAGAGCAGGAAAGGACCTTGGAGCTTAGCTAGTCCAATCTCTTCATTATACAGGGGCAGAAACTGAGGACCAAGGAGATGAGATGACTTGCCCAAGATCACACAGGAAGTAAGTGGGAGAGGTTGGATTTGAACCCAGGTTCTCTGAATTGAGAGTGAGTGCTCTTACCACACAGCATTTGTTAAGCACCTACTATGTGCCAGGCATTGTGCTAGTCAATGAGTAGATAAAGATGTGAACGAGCCCTTGTCCTTAAGGACTTAGATTACATTTCTTGGGGTAGCAGTGGGAAAAATACTTAAATACAAAATTAGATACAAAATACATACAAAGTAATTTTCAGGGGAAGGGCAAAGATAAGGTTTCTTGAAAGAGGCGGCACCTGACAGAACATCAAGGAGCCTACAAAACAAGTGCTGAGAAGGCAGCAGACTGCAGGCGTGGGGTCAGCCTGTACAAAGGTGGGGAGGTGGGAGGTGGAAGTATGTGTATGTGTGTTTGCTTCTCTGTCTCTAGGCATAGCTCGTGCGCACACACACACACACACACGCACACACAGAAGTGGAAGCTGGCCAGGTGGGTGAATGATTCAGAGCATAAGGGAGAGTACTGTACAATACATGCACAGAGAGGCTGGAGCCATAGTGCACTCCAGGCTGAGGAGCCAGAGGGAGCCATTGTAGCATCTTGAGCAGGGGGTGACACGGTCAGACCTGTGGAGGATGGACTGGGGAGGGGTGAGAGTGGAGGCAAGAAGGCCAACTAGAAGGTTATTGCAACAGTCCAGGCAAGAAATGATAAGCAGGGGCAGCTAGGTGGCGTAGTGGATAGAGCTCCATCCTTGGAGTCAGGAGGACCCGAGTTCAAATTCAGCCTC